TGTTTCACTAATACTTACGGGTCTTCTCTCGCTAAATTTGAATCTGATTATTCCCTCGTGAGTCCCACGCAATCTCCCTGTTTGACAGTCTCACCCTCCTCCACCTGTCCGCCAATTAGATTTTTCGCTGATTCTTCAACTGCCCCATCGTCATTATTTAAAATATGGACGTGGTGTGCATGCACCCTACCATCTACATACTACGTTCCCTTCTCCATGGCCCCAACTGATTTTATTAAAATAGCCTTAATATGGACCCCATCCAAGACCTCCCCTGATCTCACTGTATCCGAATCTCCCCCGACCTCATATCCACAATCTCAAACACTTCTACTCTCAGTGGCCGCCAACGATTCCTCACATTCCCTGTTATTTCACTCCGTTCAAAGGACACGTTTATGGACAGAAGAAAAAGCATGGCGGAATACATTGGTCGGACAGCATTTCGGGCATCGACACCTCACCAGGTACAGTCTATTGAGACCAAATTCAAATAAGGTTTCCATTGTGAATTAGTTGGCAGCAAACGATAGCTGAACATCTTATGTTATTTCAGCACTTCGAGGATTATCAAAGGAGTGTTCGCTACACGGATAGTATCCTTCCTTGTTTTTGATGAAGGCAGTGTGTCGACATCATGGATGAACAAAAGCTTTCTCCCTTTTCTTCCACCGGTCCCGACAAATCCCTACAATTTGTACAGATTATCGGCCCTGCCTAAAAGCGTTTCAGCATCTATGCGCAGCATCTCATCAGCCCAGCAGCACATATCATCAGCAGCTACGACGGAACTAGTCTTGTCTACGGGATTGGCAGGATCATTATCGACTATGGGGCCTCTTTCTGCATTTGACTGCCTTTTCAACTTAACCGCATCCTCTCCATTTTCTCACCTTTCATTGGTCAGCTGCAATGACTTTTCTATCCCTCTACGCCACCTTGTTCAAAAGGCATGCTACAAGAGACTTGAGAACACCTGCTGGGTTAGTCTAACAAGACAGCAATCAGATTATCCCCTGCTCACCAGGTAAAGTCCAAGGAGACTCCGTTCAATTAAAGTTTTCATCGTAAAATAATTGGCTGAAAGCCATCACGGAACATCTTTGTTATTTTAGCACTCCGGGGATTCCTTCTGAGGTCAATGTCCTTCAGGTACTATCATATGAGTCAACCATATGCACTTCTGTGATACAGGACCAGGCTCGCAGCACGTCTGCGAATTGGGTCTCTGAAACTCTCTTCGTGGCGTCCGAATTTCGCCCGACAGCACATCCCCCACCTCGAATATTTCGGCTTCCCTCGGGCGCCGATGATGTCTCCCCTTCCCCGTCATTGGACTGTGTCCAAAGAACCAGTTTATGGACTGAATCCAAATGTCCCCCAAACACACTTCGAGCATTGCTTGGAGGAGAAAGAATTCAGGAGATGCAAGATGCTGGAGACCATATTGACATGTCGTTGCAGTCGAATGCCATCGTGGAAGGTAAGTTCCATCCAGCCTAATTGCCAAAGTATTTGCACCCATCTCGAAATCCTGTCTTTGGATTTCTTTACATTATTTTGACTGTTAGCTGTTTGCTCTATGTTTTTGCTTTCCAGACGTGCCTCTTGGAAAGTCTGCTGTACCCAACAAGGTAAGTGACACTATGTACATATGTCGTAGGCTGTTTTCGGAGATTTGAGGAAGGTTTAACATTGAGAAAGTATTCCATTCTTCTTCCTGTAGAAACACAAACGATGGCGACAGAGACTGACGAGTTTCTTCCGCAGTCTCTGCTGTTGGCGAAGCACATCCGCAGTCGACTGACAAAGCGGTCGTTCCACATGCTTTTCTTCGTT